TTATTTTATTAATAAAATATTATTTTATTTCAAAATCCTTCACTTGACTCCTCGGGTTCCAAAATGTCTCACTTGTACTGATTCACTTCCAAATTGCCTTTTTATCTTGCTAATTCATCCTTGGTAAAATGTTATTATTTAATTATCATGTCCTCGCGTATGAAATATTTGATTTCAAAATATTTCTTTCACCTATCACCGCTATTTCACACTTAAATTTACATCCATCAACCCTCCGTCTCATCGATGAGATCATATTGGCTCTTATACAGGGGTACGGGGTGTTACATGATGAAGGTGTAAAGCTTGGTTTCAAGATACAAGAGAAACAAGGTAAAGATTGTGGTTTTAGCTCAAATGTTCTTTGAAAAAGGGTTAGTAACCTTAAAAAATATATTGTGGCAGGAAAGAAAAGCTTGATTGGAGAGGATTTAGTGACATGCAAGCCATCAAACTCTTGTATGCATGATGGATTCCAATGAAAGAGAAAAGGTAAGCATGGTATTGTGTTTTAAAGCCTACGGTTGGTAAAATTGCTAAGAAAATAATTTGTGAATAATGTTGGCAGCTTGATGATTAAAGATTTGGAAGAATATTGAAGTTGCATGCAAGATCCAAGCCATCAAAAAGGTAAGACATGCAATGTAAAATGAATGTGTGATGCCTTAAGTATGGTTAGAAAACAATTATGCTAGTTAAAAGCTTGAAAAATAAATTGTGCATATATGTTGCTTTGAAAGATTTAAAAAAGGTGAAAATGCTGGTGCAACATGAATGGAAAACTTGATATTATGCTTAGTGGCAGCATGTTAAATGTGAATAATGGTGTACATAAGCTTAGAAATTATTTGGTGAAATCGAATTTATAGTTGCTGCCAAATATGTGATTAATAGTATGAAAATAATAGTTTGATCATGACAAATGTTATTAGGAGATTGACGTGGGTGTTTACAGTCATAAACAATTGTTAGGTTTATGTAATTCAAAGTTTACACTAAGGATTCAGTGTAAATAGCTATCTCTAAAGAATGAGAGACGAAAGTATAGAATATATTGTCAGCAAAACTTATTAAATGTTTGAATTGAAATGATGTCAGGAAGTGACAAAGCAAGGATTATTGCCACAAGCATAAAGTAAGCATTTAAGGAAATATTAGTGGCGAAGTAATATTTTGCCATTGTAAGGTGAGTAGGGTGTGTCGATTTCAAAAGTTCCATAAACTATATATTGATATACGTTTAATAAATGTTGCCGGTTTTCTTTAAATTCAATTGTGGATAGCATGAGTTGTTAGCCTTGGCAGTCGATTTTTAATTGGATTTGTAATCAATGATACTGTTTGTAACGACCTCTTCCCTCGAT